CTCGGGGTCCAAAGGACAAAGTCGGGCAAGCTTGTTCTTCGTCGATGCTCCCGAGTGCGAGTGGGGGACATGCCCTGGGCGATGGCCGGGTTGATGGTGTATTTGCTGACGTACCGCTTGACGCGGAAGTTGTCGACACCCGTGCCCTCGTCCTCGGGCAGCAGGCCGCGCTGGACCTTGTTCTTGTGCGCCGTGTGCCACGTTCGCAGGACCACCTCGCCGCAGCGGCCCATGGCCTGGCTGTCGCTGCTCATCATGCTGATGGCGCCCAGGTCGTGCAGCACGTCCCTCGGCCGCGATGGTTTCAGCGCGGATGCGGCTTTCGGCAAAGGCGACGTCCTCAGGGATGTCCTTGGTCAGGTGGTGGCAGACCATCAACATGTCGAGATGCTCCTCGAGCGTGTTGCGGGTGTAGGGGCGGGTCGGGTTTGTGGACGAGGGCAGGATGTTGGGGTACTCGGCGATCCGGATGATGTCGGGCGCGTGGCCGCCGCCGGCGCCTTCGGTGTGGTAGGCGTGAAGGGTGCGGCCGTTAACAGCCTTCAAGGTCTGCTCAACGTATCCCGACTCGTTGAGCGTGTCCGTGTGGATCATGCATTGCACATCAAGCTCATCGCACACGGTGAGGCAGGTGTCGATGGCCGCCGGGTGGCACCCCCAGTCTTCGTGCAGCTTGAGGCCGCAGGCACCCGCCTTAACCATCTCGTGGAGGGCGACGGGGTCGCTGTCGTTACCCTTGGCTGTGATGCCGATATTGACGGGCAGCCTGTCAGCCCCGCGGAGGATCTCACGAATGAAATATGGCCCGGGGGTGCAGGTGGTAGCGCTGCTATTGGCACTGGATGCTGTTAGCTTCTTCCCCTGAATTTGGGGTTAGGGGCTGTGGTCCTTACCTTGGCCCCGTGCCACCGCCCACCATGGTGGTAATGCCAGACGCAATAGACTCGTCGGCCTGCTGGGGGCAGATGAAGTGGATGTGAGTATCAATACCGCCGGCCGTAACAATCTTACCCTCGCCGGCAATCACATCGGTGCAGCTGCCCACAATCATACCGGGCGTCACGCCGTCCATCACATCCGGGTTCCCGGCCTTGCCAATGTTCACGATATACCCATCCTTGACGCCGATGTCAGCCTTGAAGATACCGGTCCAGTCGACGATGAGCGCGTTAGTCACAACCAAATCCAGGCTCTCAGCGCTGGTGCGCCCCGTCGCGGCACCCATGCCGTCACGCAACGTCTTACCACCGCCAAACTTACACTCGTCTCCGTAGACGGTGAAGTCTTTCTCGACCCTGATCCACAGGTCCGTCTTCCCCAGCTTCACCAAATCCCCGGTTGTCGGGCCAAACATGGTCGCGTACGTATTCCTATCGATGGTGGCGCCCTCGATATTGTGAAACAAGTTACCGGTCTCGGACGTCAGAGACATATCCCCCGCCGGGTCGGGCACGTGGGCGAACCCGGCCTCGGCCAGCCTGTCTTGAATATCTTTAAGGTTCCCAAAGTCCACCCTCCCGGACGCCATTGCGTTCCCGCCCCTGATGACCTTCAGCCCGCCAATCTCCACCAGCGTCACCGTCTTGGTGTCCCCCGGCTCAAAGCGGATCGAGCTGCCCGACGCCTGATCCAGCCGGTACCCGTACGACCGCAGGCGGTCAAACTCGAGGCACGGGTTGACCTCGATGAAGTGGTAGTGACTTCCGACCTGGATGGGGCGGTCGCCCCTGCTGGTGACCTGGAGCTTGATGCGCTTCTTGCCCTCGTTAAGCTTGATGACCGAGTCCTTGACGACGAGGATGGCGCCGGGCTGCTTCTCGTAGGTGTACTCCTCGTCGGGGTACTTAGGGAACAGCTCTTCGGCGTTCTCGGGCACGGGGATGAAACTGCCGTAGAGGGCGCGGGCGAGGTCGCCGTCGTCGGTGGCGATGGGGTGCTGCACCGTCACTAGGAATGTGCCTGCGGGGAAAGTACCCTCGACCTGGATGTCGTGCAGCGTCGTGCAGACCTCGGGCAAGACATGGCGGCGGCCCAGCATGGTGCTGCCAAGCGACATGAGGTCAGCGACGCTGTGGTTGCCATCGCGGATCAGTTCGTGGAGGTTGGAAGCGATGAGGGCCTGGTTTATATCGTTAGCTCTTTTTTTTTTTTTCTTCATTCATTTTCCTATCGATTTCCTTTCTTTTTCCATCCCCCATCCTCTTTTTCCGTGCTAAGTGAGATCATGAGAGGGCGTCTTACCGTGGCTTCGACATGGTTCAGTCGTACCCCGCGGGCCAGTCGCCGCTGAGCAAGGAAGCCCAGTGACGAGATGGTGATCTTGTCGAGCTATGTGGAGTTTCCATGATGTTAGCTAAAATCACTTCAAATCTTGGGTTTGAGTTGCATCAAGCTTCTCCTGTCTCATTTCACAAGGGCAGCTGCCCTCAGAATCTGAGACAGAGAGAACTGAGCGGGCAAATGGACGAACGTTAAAGTGAAGCGCCAATGCTCACTAACCTCCTTCGGTACGAGATGCATTGCGGCAGACTCAATCACGGGCCAAGACAGCCCTATCGATAACTGAGGGGGGTTTGTGTGACTGGAGGGGTAAGATACCGAGGTGCTGGGTTGGGTTGTTATGGTGCAGTGAACATGTAAAGTAGACACGGAGCCATTCCTCGAGACGCCCTGGGGAACTAGAAGGACATAGTTCCCACTCAGTAGCGCCCCTGAAAATATTAAAATGTTTTTTTTCTCTCCGCGTTTCCGCTAGTCCCGATGGTCGAATACCCCGCATCCTTGCTGATAAGCTTTGGAGCTGCGTGCATGCTTGGTTATGACAACATGAATCCACCGGGAACCAGTGATAAGATTGGATCCACGGAGGACTGAAGATGGTCGGAGTGGTGTCAAGTTCTTAAACTTGGAAGGTGCATACCACTACACCTATTAGGAAAAATAGACGACACACGTGGTTTCCAAGCCAAATACAACGATAAAATCAAGGTTCCTCAACGCCTGGCCGGAGATTCCTAGGTCAGCCTTAACTACCTAAACAAATGGAAATTGTACAGATGATGGATGATGCCGTTGTAAATAACCAAACCAAAATCAACACCGCCAGAGATATATGTGTCCGTAGGTATCTAGCCCAACGCCTTCCCATGTCCATATCCAGTAACCAGATCCTAAGCATCAATCAACTTCTCCTCTCCCTTCCCCCTCGCCAAAACCTCCTTGATCCGTTCATCCTCAATAGACCGTATCCTACTCCTCGCCGCCTCCAACCTCTCCACCCCCTTATTAATCGTCTCAATATGCACGCTAAGCGGCACCTCCGCCTGGGCCCGCAGCAGTCCAGCCTCGGAGACCCGCCCCTTCAGGTCGCCCAGACTGGCCTGGATCTTCTCCAGCTCGACGATGAGCTCGTTGACGAGCTGGACGGCGTCGGAGCGCTGGCCGTCGACCTGCTTGAGCAGGGCGAGCTGGCTGTTGTAGTTGGAGAGGCGCCGGTTGTTGGCGCCGACCAGCGTCCACAGCGTCCAGAGGATGTCGTCCTTGCGGCCCTGCACTGTCGCCTGCGTGCGCGTGACGAAGTTGTAGATGGCGTCCAGGTGCGCCTCCGCCTTGGACAGCGAGTGCAGCACCTCGCGCGCCTCGAGGATCAGCTGCCCCACCTTGTCCGACACCAGCTCCGTGTGCTCGATGTATCGGTCGACGAGGTACCGTTCCGAAAGGAGGGTGGGCTGGAAGGGTGAGAGGAGCCAGTCCGTCCAGGTGCCGACGAGCCCGGCAAAGCCGCCTTGGTCGTTGCGGTTGCCCTTGTCGAACGGCTCGAGGTTGCGCGCGGTCCACCGAGTGATGCTGATGACTCCAGTCGACGGTCGAGCTGACGCGCGTGTTGAACCTCTGCAAGACGCTCGTCACCGTCTGTGCCGTGTCGATGAAGCCGTCGAATTCCAGAATGAGCTCTTCCTTGCTCGTGAGCGAACTGTAGCGGACCACGGTGCGCAGGTCGCGGATGGAGATGTGTAGAGCGACTTGCTCGCCATGTTCTGCAAGACAATAACACCGCCAAATGTGATATATAACGACACCAGGATCGCGAGCGGCTTCTGCGCATAACGCAACGCGAGCCCAACCACCTCGAGCGCCCAGCGCACAGCATTAAACAACGCACCAGGCAGCGATACGGATGCCCTACCACCCGTACCGTCTAACCCCGCCCGCTCACCCACGGGTATCTTCTCATCATCCCTCACATGCCGCCTCCTGGCCGGACTCTCCGGAACCACTCCTGGACGGCGCCTGAGCTTTGGCGGCGTCGGCGGCGGGACCGACGCCCTGATAGTAGTGGATGACCGCGTGCTATCCCTCCGGGGGCTCACAACATCGACCTTGGGCATGTAGAACTGGGGCTCCAGCTCGGGCTCGGGCGAGCGCCGCCTTAGGTTCTCCCTGGAGGTGTCGCGCACGGCCTTGGGGACGGAGGGGCGGAAGGGCGACCGCAGGAGGACCTGCTCGTCGTCCTCGGCCTTACTGAGGAAGTTCTCGATGCTGTCCTCCTGCGAGCCCCCGATGCTCCACGGCTGCGACGACCCGCCGATGCTGAAGGACTGCTGCGACCCGACCGGCTGCGAGCCGCTCGAGCCGATGAAGTCGATGTCGTCGTCGTGCAGGATCGACGTGTCGAAGCTGTCGTTCTCCCCGCCCTCCACCATGCGCCATGAGCTCTCGGGCGGGAACTCCCGCTTCACGGAGGAGCGTGTTGTCCTCGCCATGGTGTATGTGGGATGTGGGGTGGTTTGTGCCGGACCGGAACTGCTGGAACAAGGTCCGGTTAGGGTTGGGAATTCCTAAGATAGAAAACTCGGTGGCTGGGCCGATGTTATACCTGAGATATTCGGCGATCGACAGGGAGGAAGTGTGTAGAAGTCGCGAGGTCACGCGTCGCGTCGTTGAGTGGCGAACCTGGAATCTAGGTATTATCGAAGGCAGCAGCGCCGTCTTATAGGCCCAGCGTGGTGTAAAAGTGGGGTTTTCTTGCTCCCTCGTTTCGTCTTTCAAGTCCCTTGCAAACTATCGAATGAGTCACTGTAGGCAGCAAAGGGATATTCACAATTTTGACAGGGGGTATTGTTTGTTCGAGCGTCAAAGATAGACATCTTTTTATGCAGTGCAGTCCGTTGATGTTGGGTTGCGGTTGAGTGCCGAGAGGGTGGGCAATGTGGATGATCTGCGGCTGCGATTTATTTGTTTCACTGTGGAGGGACACCCAATCCCGGTGCAGAAGACCGTGTGAGAATGATCCCGATCAGCTGGACAGCTTGGCTGGCTGCCACCGGGCTTGGGTGGGGGCACAGGACCCCCTTGCACTAGCAGGGGTAACCCGACAGTCTCGCCTCGGGGAAATGGGGCACAGTTTGAGCTTGTCTCGCTTGTTGCATTGCATTGGATCAACCGAATTGGGGTGGAAAAGTTTCCTGGTCCGCAGGTGCTTTAGCGGCGCCAGACAACGACACCCTCAGACCGTTGCGGCAAGTCGGTAGGATGCCGTTCCTGCGGGCATCAGGGCGGGCTTCACTGCTCCTGACCAGACAATTAAGGATATCGAGGATATCGAAGACAGGACAGCCGTCCCGACTCCAGTACCGCCTCTGTTCGTCTTGCGATAGCGCTAATGCCTCGGCCGCAAAACGCCTCCCACCCGATCATCGGCAGATCGGGCTGCGGCAGGAGCTGTTCATGACCTCCGTCTACAGTCCCGGCTCACCCATCCTCCTTCCCAATGGAGCGCGCATCTTCAACCGCCTCATCGACTTCCTCCGCCAACAATACGTCCGCTATGGCTTCCAAGAAGTCATTACGCCGACCATCTACAAGAAAGCCCTTTGGGCCAAGTCGGGCCACCTCGAGAACTACTCTGACGACATGTACACCGTGACGAGCACCTCACCATCCCGTGCTGAAGTCACCGATCGCGGCGAGGAAGCCGAATACGGCCTCAAGCCCATGAACTGCCCAGGCCACTGCCTGATCTTCGCATCACAGACCCGAAGCTACCGCGACCTTCCGATCCGCTACGCCGACTTTAGCCCGCTACACCGGAACGAAATCTCGGGGGCATTGAGCGGCTTGACACGGGTGCGCAGGTTTCACCAGGACGACGGGCACATCTTTTGCAGACCGTCACAGATTCGGGACGAAATTGCGAAAACGCTTGATTTCGTCCGCCTCACGTACGGCGTCCTCGGACTTGGGCCCTACCGGTTGGTCCTTTCAACCCGACCGGAGCAGTATATCGGATCTGAGGAGGATTGGACACAGGCGGAAAGTGCGTTGAGGGAGGCTCTCGTCGGAAGTAGGCTCCAATACACTATCAATCCGGGCGACGGTGCGTTCTACGGGCCTAAAATCGACATCATACTCAAGGATTCGGACGGAAAGGAGCATCAAACGGCCACTATCCAACTTGACTTCCAACTCCCCAAGCGATTCAACCTGGAATACACGGCACCGGCTCCGGAATTTGAAAAACGGGGCGCGATCACAACGGATGCGGAACTGTTGGCCGAATACGGGCCCGTCCAGCCCGTTCTCATCCACCGGGCCGTCCTTGGCTCGGCAGAGCGGCTCATGGCGCTGCTGATTGAGCACTATAAGGGCAAGTGGCCATTTTGGCTCAACCCGCGTCAAGCCATCGTCATCACAGTCAATAACTCGGAGCCTGTGGCGAACTGGGCGCGGCAAACACGAGACATTCTACTCGGGGTTTCGGCCTCGACCTCGACGATAGAGGCGGCGTCACCGACCGGGCTTGCCATCGACATTGATGACAGCAACCGCGGCGTGGAGCTGAAGGTGCGCGAGGCCAAGACCAAGGGGTACGGGCTGATAATTGGCGTGGGCCCACGGGATGTAGAAACCAAGACAGTGGGCGTCAACGCGACCAGCCTTGCCAAACCCGATGCCACCTTCCACGAGATCAAGAAGCTGAAGCGGATAGACATGTCCCCAGCGAAGCTGAGGGACTACATGCTCTCGTTAGTAAATAAGTACGAGTAACCCGAAAATGTTGTATGATGTATGCAAATATGTAAATATGTACTATAACAAAGGCTCCTCGAGTCCGGGCTAAACTGCTGTATCAAATGACTGCTCATGTCCGTGCCTCACAGATCTCGAACATGACGCAGTGCGTTATCAAATTTGGGAAGGTGGGGTCTCCAACGGCCTGTTCCTTGCCAAGCTCCCAGCTCCCCCCCCCCCACCTCCATCGACAGGAGGTACAAGTAGGTAAGGTACACTACTCGGTACTCCATACCACCCTACCTTTTCTCGATTTCGCCGTCACTGCCTAATGAAATAGTTTCGAAGACTAGCCACCTTTTATACTCGTTCGCCTTCCAGATCAATCAAATACAACGCCATGGACCTGTCCAACCCATCCGACCCCCCGCCGGATTATATCACGGCTGCCCGCGCCCATGGCATCCCTCTCCGCCAAAGTGCTCCGATCAAGAAGGGACCCTTTCCTCTTGAGCTACCCATTCTCACACACCTTCGTTCCAAGCGCGTGATTCTCGCCAGCGCCTCACCCCGGCGCAAAGCCCTTCTCGCCCAAGTCAGTATCCACCATTCACCGCCCTGCCCCTTCCCTCTCCCATCATCTCAACGCACCCTCCTAACCACCCCCAACCCACAGATCGGCCTCACCAACCTCGAAATTATCCCCTCCACCGAGCCCGAAGACCTCGACAAAAAGACGCACACCCCCGAAGAATACGTCGCCGCCACCGCGCGACGCAAGTGCCTGGCCGTGTACCAAACCGCCCTCACCCGCCAACAAGAAGCCACCGAACACAAGCAAAAGCAAGACGTGCCCAATCCGGTCCCCGACCCCCGCGTGCTGGAGGACCCCGCGGTGGTGATCGCGGCCGACACGGTGATCGCGACGCGCGGCGGGCAGATCCTCGAGAAGCCGCGCTCCGAGGCCGACCACGTGCGCATGCTCACCCACCTGCGCGACACCATCCGCCACCGCGTCCTGACCGCCGTGTGTGTCTTGGCGCCGAAGGCGGATGCCACGCATCCGGGTTATGAGATCGCCTCGCATGTGGAGGGGACGAATGTGTTTTTTGCCGGGGCCGATGATGGCCTGCCGGATGATGTCATTGAGAGCTATGTGCGCACGAGGGAGGGGGCGGATAAGGCCGGGGGGTATGCCCTGCAGGGGGTGGGCGGGATGGTGTTGGTGGATAAGGTGGAGGGGAGCGTGGATAATGTGATTGGGTTGCCGGTGAGGAAGTGCTTGCAGTTGTGCGAGCGGGTGGTGTTTAGGCAGGGTGAGGAGGTGGAAGGGGAGGATGGGGAAGGGGATGAGGAGTAGGTAGGCTTTTGGGTCATGGAAAGGGGAAATAAAAGGCAGGATCTAAACGGCATGTGATTTAAGGGCACCTAGGAAGTATCTGTCGGGTGCACCTTCTGGTGGTCCCGGCTCAGGGGCTGAGTTGTAAATGGGTGTAGCGGAATAATAACAATCAAAGTTCCAAAAGCGCCACATTTACCGTCTATCCGTGTGTCCCATATCCCACTCAGCACCAGTTTTCCTGTTATTTATTCGACCTCCTCCGCCTTCGGCTTCGGCAACCTGAACGGGTGCGCCTCCGTATTAAACACGTAGTCGTCCAAACTAATGAGCTCCGGCTCCGAGAAGATGAGGTAGAAGTACTTGAGCGTCTCAGCAATCCAGAAGCTCTAAAGCCCAAGTCAGTAAGTCAAGCACACCCTAAATCAAATCCCACACCCCGTGGCACAGGTAGCATGGTGGGCAAGTGGCAAAGGTAAAACAAACTCACCTCCATCGAATCCAACACCCCCCCCTCCTCCGCCCCTCCCTCTTCCCCTTCCCCTGCCCCCGCCCCCGCCCCCGCCTTCACACGCACATCGCTAATCGCCGAGTGCGCAAGCCGCGTCTGTGTAGCCGTGCGGATCGACTCAAACATCTGCCACGCCACGTCCAGCAGGTCGGGCCGGCCGGTTGCCCGGTACAGCACAAACACGCTCTCGATCGCCTCCGGCCGCAGCAGGTACTTCGCGTCGCCCAGCCCGGCGAACCCGGGTGGGAGCTGCTGGCTTTGCGCGCGCGCGCCGGTGGTGGTGTGCCAGCGGGCTTCGTCCCAGGGGCAGGGGGCCAGGTTGTCTTGGGGGTTGTCTCGGGGTTTGTCTTTGGGGATGGGGTTGGGTTTGTCGTCAGTGTTTTTGCTGTCTTGGGTGGGCTGGCACGGGATCAGCTCGGCGGTTTCGGGCATGACACCCGTTGGGAAGGCCGAGTAGGCCCAGGCGCAGCCGCGCGCGAGGCGGTCGCCGATGGCGACGTGGGATTCGTCTCCGAAGAGCCGGCCGCCGAGGGCAAACATGCCGCCGGCGAAGCAGCCTAGGTGCTGGATCTCGGGCGACAGCTCGACGATCCGCCCGTTGGAGAGCACCGTGCCCGGGAAGAGGACGTCCGGGGCGCCGTCGGGGACCATGGGGCGGAAGAGGATGTGCTTGGCTGCGGTGGCCATGGCTTTGGTGTGCATTTTCTCGTACGCAGGGTCGAGGCCGCCAAGGAGGGCGTGCATTTTGGAGAGGTATTCGTAGGCAGAGTCGGCGGAGTTGCCGAGGGAGAAGGAGGTGCCCGAGGTGAAGAAGTTGTTTTGGAGGTCGACGAAGATGGGCCACATGCCGGGGAGGCTGGTCGTGTCCTGCGTCCTCTCGAGCTCCTTCTTGATGCCGTCGATGGCGTGGTAGTATTTGGAGTCGCCTGTAAGTTGGGAGAGCCGAGTGAACTCCAACGATAGGGATCCAACCGCCGCGGTGGCTTCGTGTTTGCTAGCTACCAGCTTGCCCTCCTTTGCTGTTTGGAAGTGGAAACTGTTGGCGGGCATATGGTTGGGCGTGTCGAACGCCGCGTGGAGCATATCCCCCAGCTCGATGGCCTTGTTAAGAAGGATTTTCTCCTGACTTAGGTCGTAAGCCGAGAGCAGACCGCCCAGGTACCTGATGTTGGTCTCGAAGAGACTGCAATGCCAGGATGTTGCGTTGTTCCAGTCGATTGTGGCGATGTGCCGGACGGCGTCTCCAAAGTCCTTCTTCATTCCCATGATCCAGAGCGTATCCAACGAGTCCACCAACGTTGCCCCCCACCCGGCAAAGGTGTCCTGCCCGACTAGGCTCTGAGGAGCAACCTCATCACGACCCCAGGCGTAATCGCGGTAAGTCCTCCACGACCTCTTGGCAACGTTCTTGACGGCTTCTCGGCGCGCCCTCTGGGTCTCGTTATGAGACTTGCTCAGTTCATCTTTTGAAAACTGGTGTTGAATCCGAGGCAGTTGACGAGGCTCTCCCTCTGGCAGCCGGACCATTGTAGCCTCGTCGACCGGGTGCGTTGGGGGTCGATTCCGCCAGTCAAAACTGCTCGGTATGTACTTCCATGCTCGCCATTCCTCGCCTTGGTAAATGTACACGAGATCGGTTTGGCTCAGTAAAAGGTAGGTGATGAGGAAAACGGCCGCCACTATGGCTAGACGTGTGAACCTCCGGACAGTCATGTTGGCCACGGTTCCCAGGTGTTCGATAAAATATGGCCCATTCGAGGATGGGGAAGGATATGTAATTGTCGAGTTCTAGCTGTCGAGAACTCGACGGCATAGAAGGTGGTGTAAAATAGGCTTGAAAAAGGAGGAAGGAAGGAACTCCAAGGCGGGAACAGACTCGAACTTGAATGGCTCATTACTTTGTGGAAAACGTTCATAGATGCATACATAGTTAACGAGCTCCGGCGTGTGGTACAGCTGTGCAAGGAGTCGGGGGCAACAAACCGGTTTGGCAACCAACAACATGCTTCAGGGGATGTTTTGGCAGTGCCAAAAGGGGTGGTTCCCCTGATGTTCCCAGCAGCTTCCCGCGTTGGCACCGTCGATCACTGGGTTATTCTCCGGAGGGCTGTGCAGTAAAATACGGGACCCCAATCTCGCCTGTTTGGAACGTTCAGGAGAAACAAAGGGGATGACGCCAGTAAATTCGGTTGCTAGCGTCATTTTGAGCTAACGTTCCCGAAAAGTGCAGGTAAATATTGGAATGCAGGGTAGGTTGTTCGGAGGTTCGTGATCTTCGCCATCGGAATGCTGAAGAGCATTATTGTCTCCCTCCTCTGCGGAGCCCCTACAAGATACCTTCCGCCCAGAGTAGGTATTGGAAATTGTCATAGGGTTTTCCTAGGGATTACCTGCCGTCTCAGAATTGAGTCCAGTTGCTGATCAAAGGGTGTGCTTGAAGCGATCCGCATCAACAAGGTCAAGTTCCGTTGCAATGCTTCTTCGATGTTCGTGTTCAGGGTTTCCAAGGCCCAGAACTTGGTAGGTGGGGAATATTGATCGCCAAGGCCTGAGCCTCAAGAGGGATCCTTGTCGGGACAGCGAGGCGTTGGAGCTCCAAGCCGCCCGGCACTCCAACGGCGATCCTTATCGCTTATCGCAACCGCAGAAGGCTCAAAAATTTGGAACCAGCAACACCACGAAGCGGCAAAGGTAGCCGAATCTGTACATTGCAAACCGACTCATTGTCTCACGATGTCGTCCCTACGTAACAGGTAGATACCAGCCAAATCCAAACTACCGCAACGACATGGCTAACCCGCAACAGCGTCCAGCGGCGATCCCACCGCGAGCGGGCGCAGCCCCTCGAGCGCGAGCGACTCGGCCTGCTCGAGAAGAAGAAGGACTACCAGAAGCGGGCGAAGGACTATAACAAGAAGAAGGCGGTCCTCAAATCGCTGCGGCAAAAGGCGGCCGACCGCAACGAGGATGAGTTCTACTTCGGCATGATGTCGCGCAAGGGCCCCGGCGCCTCCATCACCCGGGGCAAGGCCTTCACCGGCAACGTCGACGGCGACCGCGGCAACAAGGCCATGGACGTCGATACCGTCCGCCTGCTCAAGACCCAGGATCTGGGCTACGTCCGGACGATGCGGAACGTGGCGGCCCGGGAAGTGCGCGAGCTGGAGGAGCGCTTCATTCAAGCGGGAGGGGCAGAATTGGACGAGGACGAGGACGACAGTGACGACGATATGGACCCGTCGACATCGGCGCCCCGGAAACCGAAAAAGATTGTCTTTTTTGACGGGGCGGAGGAGAGGGAGCAGGCGTTGGAACGAGCAGAGGACGAAGACGAAGCGATGCGGGATCTAGATGACGAGGACGACGAGAAGGCGGCAGCGGCGGACAAGAAAGCACAGAACCTGGAAAAGCTGGGGCGGAGGTTAAAGGCCGCCAAGCAAAAGTTAAAGACACTGAAAGACGCCGAGTACGAGCTGGAGGTGCAGAAGGCCAAGATGGCGAAGACGGCGACCTCGGGCGGGATCACAAAGAGCGGGCGGAAGATCAAAGTACGAGAGAGGAAGAGGTAGCGGACAGGAGACCGTCACTTTTTCTGCCTTTGTTTTTCTTACAGATGTCATGCCAAATCTCCTCCGGGGCGAGAGTCTGGCCTCGCCCTTCGGGGTATTATGCAATACCCAACGCCAGAATTATCATGACCATGAAGAGGTATCCAACAAGAAAATAAAATATCCCAACCCA